AGGAAAACATTGTCTTCTTGTCAAAATAGAACAGCAATCATCTTTAATACTCAAGGGTTCCAGTATACCAGTAGACACTGGAACAGCCTGTAGAAGTAACAGCACTTCGGCACAGACATGGCAAAACCCACTCGAGAGAATATGGTAACTAGTAGGATAAGATGGTGTCAATAATAAGCATCATTTTGATCAAGGGGACTGAAGCAGGTTGTGGCAGGGTTGGTGGGGTTCATTCCATGTAGCAAGTAACAAAATTTGATGAAAAGCAGTCCAGTAAGAGGTGTGAGTGGATTGAGGGTGGGAGTGGCGGAAAGTAGGGAGACAGGAGGAATTTTTTCAGAGGCAGGTTCCTCAATAGCAAGTTAGAGCAAAAGTCACTAGAAAACAATTTATACAAATTCTAGGAGCTTAAGAAGCTGCAAGTGACACTTTTTCTGGGGTTGTAAGTTATTTCTGTTTATACTTCCCAGCCAGAGTTTTGACCTCTATAAGCACATCAAGGACGTGTGCCTTATTTCATTTACCTTGATATGGTATGTGTGTGAGCAACGTGTTAATTGCTCAGTGGTGTCCAACTCTTTGCAACCCCATGTACTGTAGCCCACCAGGCTCCTCAGTCCATGGAATTTTCCAGACAAGAATACTGGAGTGGGTAGCCATTCCCTTCTCCAGGGGATCTTCCCAACCCAGAGATCAAACTGGGTCTCTTGTACTGCAGGTAGAATTCTTTACCATCTAAGCCACCAGGGAAGCCCGATCTTGGTATCCCTGGGCTTTAGCATAGCATTTGGCATGTATCTGGCACTTAATAATGATTGTTAATTATCTGACATATGAATTAAATAAGGTGACAAGCTTTTATTTAAAAAAACACAGAAATTTCTTCCACCAGTGCAAGTTATCTGAAAAGCTTACCAAAGTGAAAAAGTTATCCAAAGACCAAAATCATAATTTATAAAGAACCAAGGATATAAAAAAAAAAGAAATCTTAAGTTCCACTGGTTAAAGAGATGAATGTCCAGCCAATGTGAAAATTATCAGAACCACAGGAATATAAAATGTATCCCTGAGGAGACATTGTGTTTTTCTGAGAAAATGAGAAGGGATTAGACAGAACTCTAAGTATGACCTTGGGCAAATAATTGAATCTGTAAAAATCACAAATATGGATCACGCTTATTGTGAACTTTTGTTGCCTGTGCCCAGGACACTAAACACTCTTGAGAGAAGACAGATATCTATTCAGACTCAGCACATTGTGAATTCTTGCAGTCTAATATCAAACAAGCCTACTGTATTCAGCAATCCCCTAATCATGATCTGGTTTCCTCCTCTCAGTGGCTAGTTCAAACCCTCTTTTCTCTGCTCTCTCCCTCCTTCTCAAAGATTGTTGCTATGAGCCACGAACGACACCATTCTTGGCCTCTGGAGGAGGGGAATTCGATCCGGGCCCAGTGACAAGCCTTGACTGCTCAGAGCTTTTGTGTAATAAAGTTTTATTAAAGTATAAAAGAGATAGATAAAGCTTCTGTCCATGGAATTCTCCAGGCAAGAATACTGGAGTGGGTAAGCCGTTCCCTTCTCCAGGGGATCTTCCCAATCTAGGGATCGAAGTCAGGTCTCCTGCACTACAGCCAGATTCTTTACCATCTGAGCCACCAGGAAAGCCCTGGTGTATATGCAAATGTATAGCCTAACTTTAAAACAAAACATAGTAAAACAAAGACTTTCTTTTGACTTCTACTGAAGAAGTTCACCTTCTCAGCACTATGAAATTTCCCTGAACTACCAAAGTTTTCAGTGAGCTCAGCCCAGTAGCTTTTTTTCTTTACCCACCTTACAGTATCTTTTTAACTCCTTGAAAAGGATTTAAACTGTTTCTCTTTAAACCCTTTAAATCTTTCAAACACACCTTCCATACTTCATCATTTTTGGTAAATGATTTATTCTGCCAAACTGAAACCATTAAGGTCATCTTGCTAGTTTCTTTTAAATCTTTGCAGCTTACAACCCATCAGTCACCAAGTCCTGTCAACTGTTCCCTGACACTGACTTTTAGATGTGTCCCTGTTCTCATTGTCCAAATCCCTAACCATTTATGTTTGGGATACTGATATTGCCTACTAGCCAGTTATGTGAGCTAGGAAATGCTGCATCAATAGATGATCCCAAATCTTAATGGCCAACAGGAAGAGAGTTTATTCCAAATTTAAGTTGTAGGTTGCTGGAGGACTCTGCTTCATGCTTCTTCACCCCAAGATTCTAGGTGATGAAGCTGCCCTCTTCTAAAAACTTGCCAGTCTCACAGTAAAAAGAGATCATGAACGCAGCTCTTGAAGCTTCTGCTTGGAAGTGGGACTCACCACTTTTTATTGTTTCCATGCCGCACATTTCCTCTGTCTTCATGCTCTGCTCACCATCTGCCACCTCACCCAACCAGCCATCCCACTGAAGAGCCTACATACTCTTCAGCATTCTCAGAAGAGAATTTCCTTGTGTACACTGAGACACTACAGATCCCCTCCAATAATTCCTCCCTAATATTGTCCATACTACACTCCTTAGACATTTAATAAATCAGTATATAGTGCTCCTATAGGTGGCTAGTTTGCACATTAAATTGCATCTAATTTCTCCAACTATATTGTATACATTTTGTGATCAAGACTAAGTCTTAATAATTGTCATTTACATGCTTGATTTTTGCCTATTTCCAAATAATTGGAAAAGTATCTGATATAAAATAATTTGTAATTTAAGGCACAGCATGAGATAGTCATGCTCCTAATTAGAGTGAGCTTGGTGAGGAATGCAGAGGAAACACAGAGTAATAAAAGGTAAATGTAGTTATGAGTGTTGGTTCTGAAGACAGACTACCCAGGTTCGAATCTCTGGCTCTATCACTTACAAACAGGGTAACCATTAGCAAGTTGCTTCATGTTTTTTGCTACATTATCTCCTATTGGAGCAGTATATTAATATGATTATACCATATAACTGTTTCAATGAGAAAATAAGTAGATACATAAAAATTGATTATAAAATTGACTGGTACATATTAAGCCCTCAATAAAGATTAGGTGTTGTTGCTGCTACTGTTGGTGGGCAGTCTATAGTCTCAAAAGAGATTTATTATTAATATTTTCTGCTCTCATGACTATTAAGAATAAAGTATACAAGAAAACTCATATTTTCTGGTGCTACTTGCAGACCTGGTGTCAGGAAATACTACTAAAATATTCCAATACTTAATGTGTTTCTTTTGTCCCTCACAGCACTGAAGACTGCCCAAGACTCATTCAAGATGTTAATAATATTTATTGGTTGGCATAACTTCTCATCACTCAGATTCCAAATCTTAAAACAGTACTTAAATTACAAAGCTATTTTAAATATAGAAGTTATTTGTTTTAGAAAACAAAATAAAAATATATATATGTGTGTATAAACTTTTTTATGCTACATGAAAGTGGAAAAACAGGATATCTAGAATGATAAGAGAAAACAGAAAAGATCACATAAATTTTGCAATTCAATATTATAGGAGATAGAGGTAATACAGTGATATTTATCAAGAAAATATTATAACAATAAAAATTAAAAGTGGTCAAATAATATCTTCTCTTTTAATTTGTTTATTTTTAATTAAAGGATAATTGCTTTACAATGCTGTGTTGGTTTCTGCCATATATCCATATGAATCAGCCATAGGTACATATATGTTCCCTCCCTCTTGAACCTCCCTCCCACCCCATCCCACCTCTCTACGTTGTCACAGAGCACCAGGTTTGAGCTCTCTGCATCGCACAGCAAATTCCTACTAGCTATCCATTTTACATATGATAATACACATGTTTCAGCGCTACTCTTTCAATCCATTCCACCCTCTCCTCCTCCACTGTGTTGACAAATCTGTTCTGTGTCTGTGTCTCCACTGTCACTCTGCAAATACATTCATCATAACCATCTTTCTAGATTCCATATATATGTGCTAACATATGACATTTGTTTTTCTCTTTCTTACTTACTTCATTCTGTATAAAAGGCTCTAGGTTCATCCACCTCATTAGAACTAATGCAAGTGTGTTCCTTTTTATGGCTGAGAAATATTCCATTGGGTATATGTACCACGACTTCTTTAACCATTCATCTGTCGATGGGCATCTAGGTTGCTTCTATGTCCTAACTATCATAAATATGCTGCAATGAACATTGGGGTACATGTGTCTTTTTCAGTTATGGTTTTCTCAGGGTAGTGGGATTGCCCAGTAGTGGGATTTTGGGGTCATAGTAGTTTTATTCCTAGTTTGTTAAGGAATCATACACTGTTCTCCATAGTGGCTATCCCAATTTAAATTCCTACCAATAGCTCAAAAGGGTTCCCTTTTCTCCACACCCTCTCCAGCATTTATTGTTTGTAGATCTTTGCTGGTGGCCATTTTGAAAAAGTGGTCAAATAATATATTCCTGTTTGAAGTCATAAAAGCAAAAGGTAACACACTTTGAGATACTCTAAGGGAAAAAAGAGTCAAATTCTTCAACTAGTGATGCTGGGAAAATTGAACAGCTACATGTAAAAAAATGAAATTAGAACATTTTCTAACACCATATACAAAAATAAACTTGAAATGGATCAAAGACCTATATGTAATGCCAGACATTATAAAACTCTTAGAGGAAAACATAGGCAGAACACACTTTTTGACACAGATCACAGTTTTGATCCACCTCCCAGAGTAATGAAAGTAAAAACAAAAATAAACAAATAGGACCTAATTAAACTTAAAAGCTTCTGCACAACAAAGGAAACCATAAACAAAATGAAAAGATAACCTACAGAATGGGAGAAAATATTTGCAAACAAAGCAACTGACAAGGGATTCATCTCTAAAATATACAAAAGACGCGCGGTGGGCAAGCTGGCAACTAAGAGGAGTGCAGACGCTGCCTGTGACCGTGTGGCGCGTCTCTGTGGGGCAAGGAACTGCAAGATAGCCAGAATGGCTGAAAATGGTGATAATGAAAAAATGGCTGCTCTGGAGGCCAAAATCTGTCATCAAATTGAGTATTATTTTGGAGACTTCAATTTGCCACGGGACAAATTTTTAAAGGAACAGATCAAACTGGATGAAGGCTGGGTTCCTTTGGAGATAATGATAAAGTTTTATAGGTTAAACCGTTTAACGGCAGACTTTAATGTAATAGTAGAGGCCCTGAGCAAATCAAAGGCAGAACTCACGGAAATAAGTGAAGATAAAACTAAAATTAGAAGATCTCCCAGCAAACCCCTCCCTGAAGTGACTGATGAGTATAAAAATGATGTAAAAAACAGATCTGCTTATATTAAAGGCTTCCCAACTGATGCAGCTCTTGATGACATAAAAGAATGGTTGGAAGATAAAGGTCAAGTACTAACTATTCAGATGAGAAGAACGTTGCACAAAGCATTTAAGGGTTCAATATTTGCTGTATTTGATAGTATTGAATCAGCTAAAAAGTTTGTCGAGACCACTGGCCAGAAGTACAAAGACACAGACCTGCTAATACTTTTCAAGGAAGATTACTTCACCAAAAAAAATGAAGAAAGAAAGCAAAATAAAATGGAAGCTAAATTATGAGCTAAACAAGAGCAAGAAGAAAAACAAAAGGTAGCAGAAAGTGCTGAAATGAAATCTCTAGAAGAAAAGATTGGCTGCTTGCTGAAATTTTCAGGAGACTTAGATGATCAGACGTGTAGAGAAGATTTGCACACCCTTTTCTCAAATCATGGTGAAATAAAATGGATACACTTTGTCAGAGGAGCCAAGGAAGGAATAATTCTATTTAAAGAAAAAGCTAAGGAAGCACTGGATAAAGCAAAAGAGGCCAATAATGGTAACCTACAGCTAAGGAACAAAGAAGTCACCTGGGAAGTATTAGAAGGAGATGTGGAAAAAGCAGCACTGAAAAAAATAATAGAAGATCAATAAGAATCTCTAAACAAATGGAAGTCAAAAGGTCGCAGATTTAAAGGAAAAGGAAAGGGAAATAAAGCTGCCCAGGCTGGGTCTGCTAAAGGAAGAGTACAGTTTCAGGGCAAGAAAACTAAATTTGATAGTGATGATGAATGTGATGCAAATGGTGCATCTGGAGCAGTAAAAAGAGCACGAGAAGAAAGCAACGAAGAAGAACCTCCATCAAAACAACAGAAAACAGAAAATGGTGCCAAAGACCAGTAGTTTAATAAACAAATTTTTTATTCATTTTAATTAGATTTTAAGCTGCTTTTGTCTTTGGAGGCTGTTATAAAGAAAACCGAATTAAATCCACTTCGATGTCTACCTGTAAGAAAGGAAGATTTTTTGTTGTTGTTGTTGAACTTATCTTCTGTTATCGAAATGAGTTTTTTAATGTGCAGTTCTGTTTGTGTTCTTTCGGATTATTCAAATATCTAAAGAAACATTCTTCCATTAAGTTGCCTTTGTAATATGAATGCATTAGTACAAAGTAATAAAATGTATACTGCATAAAAATAAAATAAAAAATAAAAAAATAAAATAAAATATACAAAAAACTCATGCAACTCTATATCAAAAAAACAAACAATGTAATCAAAAAGTGGGCCATGCCAGGGCAGCGTATCTAAACACATTTTTCCAAAGAATACATACAGATGGTCAAAAAGTACATAAAAGGATGCTCAACATTACTAATTATTAGCGAAATGCAAAGCAAAACTACACCTCACATCAATCAGAATGGCCATCATCAAAAAGTCTGCAAACAACAAGTGCTGGAGAGGGTGTAGAGAAAAGGGAACTCTCCTACACTGTTGGTGAAAGTGAAGTGAAAGTGAAAGTTGCTCAATCGTGTCCAACTCTTCGAGAACCCATGGCCTCCAAACCAGAATACTGGAGTGGGTAGCCTTTCCCTTCTCCAGGGGATCTTCGCAACCCAGGGATCCAACCCAGGTCTCCCGCATTGCAGGCGGATTCTTTACCAGCTGAGCCATCAGGTGGGAATGTAAATTAGTACAGTAATTAGTAAATTAGTATGGAAGTTCCTTAAAAAACTAAAAATAAAACTACCATATGATCTAGCAATCCTACTACTAGGCATATATTCAGAGAAAACTAATTGGAAAAGATACATGAACCCCAATGTTCATAGCAGCACTATTTACAATAGACAAGATACAGAAGCAACCTAAATGTCCATCAACAGATGAATGGATAAAGAAGCTGTAGTACTTAAATACAGTGGAATATTATTCAGCCATAAAAAAAACACAAAATAATGCTATTTTCAGCAACATAAATGGACCTAGAGATTAGCATAACTAACTGAAGTAGATCACACAGAGAAAAAAGAAATCATTTGATATCACTTACATGTGGAATCTAAAAAATGATCCAATGAACTTATTTACAAAACAGAAATAGACTCACAAATGTAGTGAACAAGCTTATAATTACTAAGGGGGGGAAAGAGGGGCATAATTTGGGAACTTGGGATTGACAAATAAGTACTACTATATATAAAACAGACAACTAATAAGGACCTATTGTATAGCATAGAGAACTGTACTCAATACTCTATAATGACCTATATGGGAAAAGAATCTTAAAAAGAGTGCTGTGCTTAATCACTCAGTCATGTCCGACTCTGTGACCCCATGGACTGTAGCCTACCGGGCTCCTCAGTCCGTGGGGATTCTCCAGGCAAAAATTCTGGAGTGTGTTGCCACTGCCCCATCCTCTTCCTCTTCCAGGGGATCTTCCAACCCAAGGATCGAACCAAGGTCTCCCACATTGCAGGCCGATTCTTTACTGACCAAGCCGCCAGGGAAGTCCTAAGAAGAGCAGATATATGTATATATTTCTTGAAAACACATAAAAAAGAAAAGCCAAAAAATGACACTTTGATATACTCTAAGGAAAAAAAAACCAAATTCTTGCAATAACTTGAATATAAAGTGAAAAAGAATACAAGAATTATGGTTGAGAATAAAAGTTTAAAATATGTTTGAAAACCACCTCTACTGAAAATCTGGAAGAGTCAGAGAACAAGGCCTGGAACTGGAGGCAAAGGGGTAGGGAGAGAGAAAGAGAGAGAAAGAGAGAAGAATGAATGAACTGGATATTAACAAAATAGTTCCCCACTGTCATTTACCAAATTCTGTTTGGTGTGTATATATCTCTAACTACATAAGTTTGTGGTACATTTCCATCCATGTATTCTATTTTATTTTACTTATTTGTACTTTTTTATAAGAAAATAACTTTTCAAATACATGAATAAAATGGTAAATTTGTAAATTCAAGTGAAATCTAGTTTAGAAAGGATGAATTCTTAGTGACAGTATTTGTATCTTGAAAGTACACAATCGCAACCTGGCAAAGACATTAGTTTGATACACAAAAATATCCTGTGCCTATTTCTGCAATATATTAATACATCCATTTTAAAAAACAAAAACAAAAAAACAATGTGGCTTCTGTAGTGGATTTCCATTTGGAAGAAATAAGATATTCCTGACTAAATCTGTTGGCTTTCTATGAGGGTATGTTTCCTTCCAGCAAACCATTAGTTTCCCAGTGTTTGATGTTAGAAACAGTTCCTTAGTGAAAAACTGTACCATTATTGGCTTTCATCTTTTAAGTGGATTCCAATGGCAACCCACTCCAGTACTCTTGCCTGGAAAATCCCATGGACAGAGGAGCCTGGTGGGCTGCAGTCCATGCGGTCTCAAAGAGTCTGACAGGACTGAGCGACTTCACTTTCACTTTTCACTTGCATGCATTGGAGAAGGAAATGGCAACCCACTCCAGTGTTCCTGCCTGGAGAACTCCAGGGACGGCGGAGCCTGGTGGGCGGCCGTCTATGGGGTCACACAGAGTCGGACACGACTGAAGCGACTTAGCAGCAGCAGCAGCAGCAGTGACTATGATACATATATGGGATCCAGGTTGGAATCTATCATTAATGCGATCTTGGTATGGAAATTGAGACAGATTTATTCTCTCTAAGCCTCCTTTCTTAAAATATATCATAATATAGGTTTGAAAATATAACTCAGCACAGTATCTGTAACATTTACAGTTCAGAAAAATAAACAGGTCCCTCTGTCCTTTACCCTTCCCACTCTCAAATATTCCTCCTTTCACTGTTAGTCCACAGGCTTTTGGTGGCTTCCACAGCCATGGAAGTAGAGAGGAGTACATTTCTGGAAACACGACTATCCTCTCATCATCCTCCTATTCAACAGTGTTATACAGTTCATCGTTTTTTATAAATTTGAATTGCAAAATCCTTTATGTTGGTAAAGCTAAAACTGACTGGCTAGGTCTCCATCACATTACGCTTCATTTGCAGGTTTCTTTCCCTGTTTTTTTGTTTGTTTGTTAATGATTTCTTTGCACTCTGACTGCTTAAAGTAACTCGTTAATTAAAGCTCTATCAGGCACCTGGCCTTTTCCCTCTTTGAAACACCCCCTAACACTCCTCTTCTTTGTAAGCATTCTTCATTCCAAAAGAGGAGGTCCCAGTATAGCAACTCCAGAGACCACCAGAGCCCATCTCCAGGACTCCTGACACAAGCCTTGATGGTTTTGAAATGTTCCATAAGAAGAGAAGATTGCAGACCCAACAACTGCCCCATCCTCATCAAGAATCCTATTTTGAGGACTTTTCTGGTGGTCCAATGATTAAGACTACACACTCCCACTGCAGAGATGCAGCCAAAATAAAGAAATCAAAACAAACAAACAAATAAACAAACAAAAAAAGCCATATTTTGAGCTAACACTTAAGTTTTACTTACTGAACCCTTTCAGGAAGGACACAGTCTTGATGGCACTAGCCTGATGCAGACTCCTTTGCCTGGCAAAGAAATAAAGCTACTCTTTTCTTTCTTACCCAAAGCTGTCTCCATGATTTTGATTCAGGGCTGGTATACAGAGATGGAGATTTCAGTAGCAGTATTAAAGGCCCCAAATCACGGCTCCAACTTTAGCTCTACTATCCAATTTGCAATTCTTCTCTAGTCTATCTGCTGAATGTGCCGTGCTCATCACTTCTTCATGTCTATACAAGCTGTTCTTCCTAGCACACCCTCCCTTTCTCTCTGTATCTGAATCTTACCTGCACTCTAGGAAGTCCACCCAAGGCCCCTTTCAGTGTATAGCCTTCCCTAGGGTCTTAAACTGTGTTGACCTCTCTTCTTCAGAACCCTTTTAATCCTGGAGTGTGCCCTCACTCAACTGCATTAGTAATCTATACCTTTTGTGGTTAACAATATTGTCATGTGTATTAGTTTTGGGACTCCAGGGACATTATAAATACAATGTTATATGTTTTATATGTTGTGGTTTATTCTTTTCATAATGTGCAGCAAATTACAATACAGGACTAGCACAAGTATTTGCAAAGAATACACATTTAATAAATATGAATTCTAATTCAGCTTCTCTGGTGGCTCAGTGGTAAAGAATCTGCCTGTCAGTGCAGGGGATGCAGGAGATGTGGGTTTGATCCCTGGGTCGTGAATATTCCCCTGGAGAAGGAAATGACAACCCACTTTAGTTGCTGTACAACTCAGCAACTAAACAACAATTATTGAAAAATCTTTAAAGAGTTGAAAGATGAGAATCCTAAATTCAAACTTTAAGTACATTCCTGGTGGCCACCATGCTATTAAACCATTTTGACTCCTTTTCAATCTATTCAATATATGTAATGAAGAATCTTCAAATACTTTTACTTGAATCATCTACCTAAATTACTTCTACTAATAATTAGCTAAATTTTACCCCATCAAAAGAGACTCACAAAAAAAGAGGATTTCTATTCTGTACTTTGGGCAGATGGAAGAGCAGCTACATATTTCATTTATCCTTTTAAGTGTTTATTCATTCATTTAATAACTATTTAGTAGAAGCCTGCTATATACAAAGGATAAACTTGCCAAGGAATAATGCTACCATTCTAA